TGTAATAACAAAATTGTAACCATGTTGCAAGTCCTGTTCACCTAAAATTTGCCTGTGCATAGTAATCAGTTCAGTTATGCATCCCTCAGCATGCTGAGGAAACATAACAAATGTGAGGTTTGTTGGGGGTATCGGCCGGAGAAGAGGAAGAGAAGGGGGGCTAGAGGAGGAGAGGGTGGGAAAGGGGTGTGTGTGTTTGGAGACTGATTGGTAAGAATGCTGATAAACCTGCCCCCAAAACGCTTTTGGCCTGAAAGCCCTTTCTTTTTGTGCTGATCATAGAATATCATAGTAGAAGCGAATCAGAAAGAAAGGGGATGTGAAGAGATTTACTTGGCCACTTATAAAAAGAAGAAGCATTAAATTGTTTAGACAATATTGATATCTGTTTCAAATTAATTAAAATCTCCAGAGGAATTCCCCCATTTGTTTTTGAGTGACGATTGCAATTTGAGACTCTTGGCCTCCTTGTGTGTCTTTCTTTCATGCTGTTGGAATTGGATTCTTTTTGCGGCTGTAATGTGTCCAGTTAGCATGGCTCAGTCCACTCACCAAGCAGGCTGGCAATTTGATCTGGGAAATTTGAACAATTTAAACCCAGGAGCAGTTTGCTTGGTCCTGCTTTTCTGTAAGAAAAGTCATTCTGTCTGCCTACAGGCTGTGTCTTGCCTAGATAGTAATATTTTTCTGGGATGGGGCTGGGTACATAGGTAGCGTACTCTTTTGTAGGCAAACCCTTCCTTCCCTTTACTATTGTGGTTTTCACGGTCACTACCTTTCTACAGTGCAAACCCAGTTGCCTTTTCAGTAATAAATTAATGTTCGAGAATGTTGAGGGAGAGAGATCAGAACATAGATGTTAGCAGACTAGGTATCTTCTGGGTTTACTTCTTTTTAAACCCTCAATAGTTCGCCACCAGTGAGCTTCAAAGGAGCCCTGGTGGTGCAGTGATTAAGCATTCAGTTGCTAACCGAAAGGTCAGAGGTTCGAACCCACTGTGTGCAGTCAGCTTCCATAAAGATTACAGCCTTGAAAACCCTATGTGGCAGTTCTACTCTGTCCTGTAGAGTCACTATAAGTTGGAATTGACGCAATGGCAATGAGACTTAGCTTCATCCTGTATTTCCCCTCTTAAATCCTGTTCCTCTTCTTCACAGCCTTTCTTCCCCACCCTCCCCAAAACCCTCACCACTCAGTCATCTGAAAACTCAGGTGTAGTGAGAATGAGAATAGGCCTAGTATTCAATACCCATGGCCCTTCACTGGAGAGAAGAGGGCCTTTTTATACTTGTTTTACAGTTTTCATTTTTTCTTCTGTGGTTTCTGTTGATCACTTAAGGGTCAGACGCAGTGTGCCTGCTGGGCTGTGACCAGGTTCACAGCCATGCCAATCAGTGGGTGAAGCTTGAGGCAGTGATGGAGCCACTGCAGCAGCAGAAGCAGCAGCAGCAGCAGCAGAAGCAACCGCACCTGGCTTCTTTGCAGATGGATGCCCGGGAGAAGCAGGGACAGCAGATGAGAGAAACCCAGTTCTTGTATGCCCAGAAGCTGGTCACACAGCCCACTCTCCTTTCTGCCACACCTGGAAGGCCTTCTGCCAACCCTGCCCTGGGTCCCTTAGCCAGAGTTCCACCAGCCACTGCAGCCCCCCGAGTTTTTGAACAAAGCAGCGTGAACTCAGAACCTGAGGAAGAGGAGGGAGGTTTGGAAGATGAGGATGGGGATGATGAAGATGCAGAGGTGGCTGAGAAAGAAGCACAGTCTGCTTCAAAGTGTTTCCACGTGCAGAAAGCAGTTCACCAAGACTTCAGAGCAGCGCCCATGTCCAGTCTCCTTCCAGCACCAGGGCTCCCATCTCATGGACTGCAGACTAAAGAAGACCATACCAAAGATGCTTCCAAGGCCTCACCTTCAGTCTCCACGTCTGGGCAGCCAAGCTGGAATCTGGAGGAGCAGCTCAAGCAGGTCAGTGTTTCTGGTGTGGGAGGTCATTTGTTCTTCCTAAAGTCTGGCCAGAGACAGGTACTGGACTGCCAGGGGCAGTGGCTGTGCCAGGCTCTGCCTTCTGCCCCACTTCAGTGACCAACAGCTGAGACAGGAATAGACGTTGACATTTTTCTCACTTAACCTTTTATTTTTTTGAGTAAAGCAATGAGATGTGTAAGTTACTTCTAGTGTAGATGGTTCCAAGTTTGATGTGAAAGAATGTCAATATAATCTTTTTTTTTTTTTTTTTTTAAGGAATAATGAGGTTGTTGCAACAGTGGTATGAAGAATGTCTAAAAGTCAGATGTGTGCCTTTAACTATAGTTCTTCTTATAGTCATGTAAAGGAACGATCTTGCCTAAGACAGTTTTTTGGTTCCAGACTAACCCGGAGCCTGCTCTTGAAGGCAGTTTGTTGTTTTGCACTAAAATAGCTGACGGGAAGTGCTTGCACTGTGTATATTTCCAATAAAGAGCCTGTTAGACATGATTTCATTTCACTCTTATATCACCCCCTTTGAAATAGGGATGAGTAGACCTCAAAACTCCCTTTTTGTCCAAGGCAAGCTTAAGTGATTTCCAAACGTGACCAAGCATCAGAGTCATCCAGGGAGCTTTTAACAAATACAGATTCCTGGGTGCTATGAATTATATTCAGAGTGTGGAGCCTAGGGAATCAGTGTTCTCAACCAGGGGTTTCTAGTTTCTCTGCAGGACAGTTTTCCTCATCCAAAGAAGTGGGGGTGATGATAACTTGTTCCAGGTTAAGTGACCAGTTGGAGCTTAGGCTGGAAGTCCATGGTGAAGCCAGTAATAATTCCTGGGTACCCCGCATAAGCACACTCTTCATATGGCCACATGGTGGTGTTTAGAAATCAGTCATAAAGAGCTGAGAAGTCATGTAAGAAAGGTCCTTTGGCACCTAAAAAATCCACATCTTTGGACCAAGGAGCCCTGTACAATCAATCTGTACAGTTGAGCTGAGTTTTACGATAGCAGCAATTGCAGTAGATTCTAAAGCCAGAGAAGTGGGGTTCAAATCCCCCCTCTTCCATTTCCTACCCTTGTGACCTTTTAGTGGGGCTCCTAACTGATCTGAGCCTGAATCTTCTTACCTGTGAAATAAAAATGATGCTGCGTGC